TGTAAATTTACATTTCCGTATAAGTAATTAATTTTTTTGAAACGACTTTTACTTTATAATGTAAGTTTTTTTACTTTCAAAAGTAAGTTATGTAAAAAAAGATTAGATCAAAAAGTAATTATTTTTTACATGTAAAAGTAAGTCACGTGAAAAAGCTGTTTACTTTTACATATAAAATTACTTTTGAAAATTACTTTAGATAATATAAAAGTTACTCAAACTGTAATTTACATTTACCTTTAAAAGTAACTAATTTAAAAAAATTATATTAAAAAGTAACTTACATATAAAAGTAAATTACATAAAAGTAATATGCTAACAAATGTAAATTAAATTTACAAAAGAAATAATAATTTTTAAGTAGGAATTTTCTATATTAAAAGTAATAACAAATCTTTATTAAAAATAAGTTATATAAAATAAAGTTTAAATTACATAAACTAACATTTTATATAATTTGTAAAGTAAATTAAAAGTAATTTATATAAAGTAAGTAAATAAATTTACTTATATTTTACAATAACTTTGACAGGATCTTGTACAAAAGTAATGCAAAAAAGTAAAATTTTAAGGAATAAGGCATAAGACATTTAGTCTTCCCCAACATTTGATTTGCGCGGTTTTAAATATTTCTTTCATGTAAAGTTTGAAAAAATCAATAATAGGGTTCCGCCCATGATTAAAACTCTCTAGTTCCGGTCATGATTCTCTAGTTCTGATCATAAAGTTTTAGCTATAATAAAGATTCTCTGAAGCAAACCGTCTCAACAATGTTCACTCTCTGGCCAACCGTTCGAAAGGTCTGGACAAAGCTGAAAAAAGAATGTTAGCAGAAGGCGCATATACCCATGGGAGACTCAGAAAGGGTAGTTTATTTGAAAGAAAATTAATTGGCATCATTGTTAGTCCTTTTTACAAGTTTTTGCGTAAATGTATTTATTATTTAAAAACTAAGGAGAGAAAGTTTAAACTTGTCCTGAATTATCGGGGCTATAACACCATGCCTTGAAGAATAAGGAGCCCCGAACATTTTCAGAGGACGCTTTAATTTTGAAAAGATTTGATGCCACTTTGATACTAAAAAAGTATACCTGCTCAAGAATATCCTTTGACTCCAAAAGTCTTGGTTTAAACAACTACGGTACTTTTATATTTAATTATTTTGAGATTTGAGCAGCCTTTGCGCAGTGGTAGCGCACTTGCCTCAGAAACAAAGGATCCGTGGTTCAAATCCTATTTCTAGGAATGCTTTGCGACATCAGTTAGGAAGAAGGCGTGAACTTTCAGTTAAATGCTCATTAGCGGTGCTCTGTGCGAAGACCGTAAGGACTTATAAAAAACATAAAAAATTTAGAACTTTTCACGTAAATATCTTTATCTGCATGTAGTATCAGTGGCCTAGCTACCGCAATGATAAGCAAAACTTACGGTACCACAAGCAACTGAACCTAGAGCCGCAAGGTTTAGGAGATATATTTAAGATATATTTAAAGAGTTTTATTTTGTTTATTTTTTTAGAAAAGTTATTGTTCCAGAGAAACAGAAATTGGGCACCTTGGTCACGTAAGCCTGGATACAAAGAATCCTAAATATTTACCAACTCCACTCCAAATGTGAGGGCAACAAATTAGTAATGATTTTTTTAAAAGGTATAATTTTGTAAAGTTTACACCTTCGTCTAATGAGGTGGCTGTTCCAATCTTTTTCTAAACATTCTCATGTGATAAGCAAGAACAAACTAATGTTTGGCACTTAAGTATGTTTTTATTTATACCACAATAGAGCATAATATTAAAGATAATTTAATATTATGCATTATAATACAAAATATTATAAAAGTATTTAAAATTTAAATTATTATGAAAATATTATGACACTATCAAAAATACACTAAACAGAAAATATACAAACAAAAATATACTCATTTCTCAAAGATTAGAATTTTATTCATCTTAGTAATGTAATCATTTTATGTGCTCATATATCCTATATTAGAAGATTAAACAGCTTTTCTTACCATCTTTTTTCAAATAGAAATTTCATTATATATGATAAAACGCAATAAAAGATTATATCTGATAAACACTCCTTTAATCATATAAATTATAACTTATAGTTTAAATGACTTATAATTTTTTGAAAACTGTTGTAGCAGTCGATGTCCTTGCGGGTACCAAAAATATTATATTGCGTCATATTACCATAACAAAATACTTGATTGAAAAGGCAAATACAAAGAAAAAAACTGGAGAAAAAGCGCGCTCTAACGAACAGTGACTTAGTCAGGGTTTACACATGCATGAATTACCCATAACTAAGAAATTATGCTCCCTTCCTCCCCCGACAAAGTTTCATTATGGACACTAACCTATTTCTACTTAACAAAAAAAAAAGAAATAAAAAATCAATGATTATTTACCAGCTTCTATTAGCACTCATGCGGCAGGGTTCCCGTCTCTACACTACTGTTATTCCCGCATGACTATATTTGCCTCTAATTATAATAGAACTACCCTTTCTGATATACGTGAAAAAAAAAATTTTCCTGATGCCCCACATACTTGACCACATACCTGAAGTAGTACCCAAAAGTGCCTTCAAACAGAAAATGGATTTGAATACGCTACCTATCTCAAAATTTACGTTAAATCAACATTAAATGACTGTTCTTTAAGAAAGTAAATAATGTAACTTACATTTTACTTACTTACAAAGTAAAGTATAAAATTTCAAAGAAAAAATTACTTTTATTTGGAAAAGTAAATAACAATTTTTTTCAAATTACTTTTATGTAAGCTAATTAATGCTAATTAGTTACTTTTACACGTAAAAGTAATTTGTTGTTATGATGTAGTTTTATTTTACTTGGTAAAGTAAGTGTTATGTTTTTTAAATATTATATTTACGTAAGTTTACTTCATAAATAACTTTTTTTACATTTAAAAAGTAAACTACATTTCGGTGTAAATATTTTACGTAATTATAACCAAAATTACTTTTGAAAGTAATTTAGTTTACACGACTTACCATTAAAAGTAAGTTGCTTTTACAAGTAAAAGTAAAAATGCAAATAACTTTTACTAGTAAAAGTAAATTACTTTTTCAAATAACAGTTACTCATTTAAAAAACTTAACTTAAATAATTAAGTTTTACGCGTTATATAATTTACGTAAAGAAAAAAACGAGTTACTTTTAAATGTAAGTAAGTTATATATTTTTATATAAGTTATGTAAAGTAATTTGCGCTTAAAAGTAATTCGCGTTTTTACATCAAAACAGGTAAAAATGCCATCCCTACTACGGACATTTTCTGTCAAACTTTTTGTATCAATAACGTTTTTTGTCAAATAGAAAATGGGAACCTAAAACTTAATGATAAACCTGAAACTTAATGATAAATCAAATAGAAAATGGGAACCTGAAACTTAATGATAAGACTAAATTTGTCTTCTTCTAGCCCCGGTCATGTAATTATTTTTTTTATAAGTTACGACTGTAAATTTTTTTTTATCGGCAAAAGTGTAAATAAATTAAAAAAAAAAAAAATTACACAATTTCTGCGCAAACTAAACATATGAGCTGAAAAAATAAACTGGCCCATAACAAGAACTAAATGTTTAGTTAGGTGTTTCCTGTTTTCTACAAATATAATTTCTTTAATTACCACAAAAATATTGTTATTTATGATTAGACAAACACTTATATAAATTTTTTCTTTACTTAAAATAAAGTCAAAAAGATATTTTAAAGGAAAAATAGGCATATATATTATAAAATATATTCTATAAAATCAATGTTAAAACCTATGTAAAAAACTTTTTTTTATTATTATTATGAACGATTAAAAAATATATATATATAAAAACGGAAATGTTACTTTAATTCTAAAGAAGATATATTTATTTATAACGCAGAAATAGTTTATAAAATTTGTAAATATTTATTATTTTGTAATAAAAAAAAAAAAAAAGATCTCACGTTAAGTGAACTCCAATCACAACTTTGTCGGCGTACTTTACTTAGGCTAACCTAACTAACAGTACGTTTTAGCAACCTTCTAACATTGGGTGCAACTCTGTCCGCTTTCTCTATGCTATCTTTCTAACTCGACTACTTCTGTCTTTCACTCTAGCATATCTTCGTTCTTTCCAAACTCGCTTTACTCTTGGTCCGTAGAGCGGGTTATGACGCTCCTTGGGGAGCCGAACTTGTCTTTGCGGGCCTTGGTAAAGTGGCCGAAGGAGGATAAACCACAATAGGAGGATAAACCAATTAGCCGGAGGAGGATAAACCACAATACCAATTGTCGTATCAAATGAAGAAAAGATTGTAGAAAACTTTTACACTTATTTTTAAAAGAAAAAATTTAAATGTTAGTTTTCCTCAAGAGCTAGCTTAACATTGTTAATATGAGTCCTGGAAAACAGGCAGGTTTTTTTATTTAACAAAAGGTATACGTTTAATTCAATTTTATTAAGAATCCGGCGTACTACAAATTTTTGAAAAAGTTTGCATCGTTTTTATTTGTGTTAAGCAACAAATACTAATTATTAGTGTATTTTGAATAAACTTCTTAGTGACATAAAGAAATGGGAATTGCACACCCGTGTAATCGTGCGTTAATAGTTAATAGAAAGCATGACGTTTATGTTGAGTTGACTACTTTCGATATTTTTTAATTATTGTACTTTATACTGTAATACAAAAATATTTTTTACTTTTAGCATCGCAATAAAAGGATGTAAAAATTAGGATTTTTTTTGTATAATGCTTAATAGAAGCACGTTAAATTTTTTTTTGTTTAAAAGATAGTTAGGCTAGATAAAAACAGGTTGAGGGGAGCCTCAAAATTAAAAACCCAAACAGTGGCGCAAACATTGTTGTTAGTAAAAAAATAAGGGTCTTAAACATACCACGTTATTTGAAAAAAGTCGGCATTGTTTACACAAAATAGGTTGCAAAATGTGTCAAATCAATTTTTTTTTTTTAAAAACAAGACTCAAATAAATTTTTTATTTTACACAAATAAAACTACAATTAGCTAAGATTTCCATTTAAAAAATCGACGCTTGACAAATATTTAAATTAAAGTTGAAAATTCAACAAAAAAAAAAATATATAAAAATCATCAAAAGATGCAACATGAATGCGCCATTTTCTTTTTAGATGAACAGAAAAACAAATAAAGATGTAAATGCTAACGTAATCGAGGCTAAAAAAAGCGATACTTAAGTTATTATTTACTAATTATCAACATAATACTAGATTAAAATAAAAAATTTATTATTTGAAAAAAATATTTAACAAAAAATCAAATCAAACCCAACATAAAATAAAAAACAATTTTCTTAGGAAAATTACAAAACTGCAACGTGCTTGCAACAGTTTTGTAACTGAACAAATTTTAATTTTCTGTTTTAATTAACAACAGAGAATGAATACCTTTGATGAAGAACCCAGATGAAGAAGGTTTCTGTGTAGCAGAAGTTGGATTACTTGGTGTCGGTGTAGCGGAAGCTGGATTACTAGGTGTTGGTGTAACAGAAGCTGAATTATTAGGTGTCGTTGAAGCAGAAGCTGGATTACTTGGTGTCGGTGTACCAGAAGCTGGATTACCTATAATAGCAAGTAATCCAAAACAACAAATATTAACTGTTAGATAAAATTATTTATAAAAAAAAAAGAAAGTTATATATTGTACTAGAAGGGAAAGAAGAGACTTTTAAAGAGTTTATATATACAATATATTAGGTATGCATTAAAAAAGGCATATAATTTTATTTATTTTACTTTCTGCTTTAATGCCACAATACTATCCAACAATCATTCATAATGGTCATCGTTGCAAACAATAAATTTGTTTTTATTAATGGACTAGATAAATGTCCAAACCTGTTGCTCACAAGTCAAAAAAACAGTTTTTAAGGTTTAAATTTTGTCACCCTTGGTTTATTTAACAGACCAATTTACATTATGCTGGTAAAACGCGGTTTTACCAACAATATGGTAAGTTAAGGGGGTTATTACGGTTGCATTCAATAAAACTATTTACCAAAAATAATTGTAAAGTTATATTACTAAAAATTTTACTAAATAGTACAAATTTTACTTTATATTAATATAATAATACAAACAAAAGTTATTACCCTGCAGATTTAAATATACGCTACAAATAAAACTATACTACTATTATACTAGTTATAAAGTATTTTAAAAGGAAAAACGATTGTATACAAAAGAAATAACAGTTAATTTGTTTTTATATATAGTATATAAGATTTCTAAACCAAATTATTTATGTATGAATGTCACTCAGGGTTGATAAATATCACAATTAAAGAAAATTAAAAAAAGAACAAATTTTTTGATTTGTATCAGCTTTTTTCAATTTAAATCAGTCTTTTTTTGATTTATATTGAACTTCCTTACATTTTTTTAATATATGAATGCACAAAACCAAATAATGAAAATACTCTTTCAACACCTGCAGATGAAGCAACAGTGCAACATTGATAACAACTTCCAGTAATTCCTGATTCACACAATCATCACAAGATTTTCACCAATTACATGGTTTTATTTTTGAATATAAAACCATTAACACTGTTTAAAGTATAAAAATATTAACAGTTTTCACAAAATGAAACTATTAATATAAAAATATTATTAGTTTGATTTTTGACACATTTGCTGCATTATCAGTTCTTCAAATGCAAACTCTACAAGCAAATTGTTTTGTTCACTTATAGAATTAACAGCAAGTAATTAATAGCAACAGTCAAGTAATCATAACCAAGAAGTCAGAGGTATGTGAATGGCTAGATGAATTTATTGATGGCTGGATAAACTTATTTTCTCTGCAAGATAGATATCTAAATTCATTGTTGCCACTATTGCACAAACCATTGCACAGTGGGCCAGATATTAGATATGGTGGGCAAAGTTATTTTGATCTTTTTTTTTTTTACTAAAGCCCTTTATATTATTACAAAACCTTTTTATATTTACTTTTATGATGTCAAAGATATTTTGGTGAGCAAAAGCAATTTAGCAAATCAGCCTTATTACCCCTCATCTTATAGATAAACTTAAAAAAAAAATTGGTTAAATAAACTTTAAATATAAAAAGTGCACTTACTTAAGAACAAATGGAAATTTAACATTAAACTTGAAACTCTATTATCAAATTATCATATGTCCAGGACGTTTTAAACAAGTCTGTAGATTATCATCATCTCTATATGTAATGTATTTATTTTTAATCCATTGGCCGCACATTCTGGATGGAATAATATTACAACGCTTTTATTATCATACTAAGGCTTTTATTATTATATATTAAGGCCACTAAGTTATAAAGGTACTATGCAAATAATAAACAAGCACACTTTATTTGTTAGACCTTGTTCATTGTTTTCATTTTTACTTACTGCTTAATGTTATGTACCATCATATCCAGCCTTGCATTGTGATTAGTACAGGAGCTTTTACATCACACAGTCTTATAAGAGTGTGTTTTAGAAGATTTTTTAGCAATGTGTGTACTGAATAGTCATCAAGATTAATGTTCTTAGGGTATATGTGGCAATCTTTTTTTCAGCACCATTTTTCAACTGCTGGTATGTTGATCTTGATATATCACCATCAATAATTGATGCTAAAGCTTCATCAGGTGAATATTTCTTAGCAGCCTCAGTGGGATTTTTATTTCAATTTAAAGCAACTTTTGTACCAGTCTCATACTTAAACTCACTTTTTAGTTTCAATTTTGTTCCTTCTAGATTAAATCTGATAATTGACCATTCTGAAAGGGAAGTTAATAGCATAAACTATTCTTAATATCTGCTCATCAATTGCATTTCTTTCAGATTTTGTGGTTTTGATAATGTATGAACCCAATTTCATTGACATTATCTTGCCACCGCTTGCTTTTTCCTCTGCCTTCTTATACGAACACAAAGTTGTAGCTTAATCTAGTGTAGCTTTCTCACTAGATTAAATAGATCTAGTTTTCTCAGCAGAGAATTGTTTGTGCTTCCTCAGTTGCTTGGTTAATATTTTCCTCAGTTGCCTGGTTGATATTTAGTGCCTTGTCTAAAAATCAATGCTCTTATCATTTTGAACATCTTTCAAAATATTACATTTACCAACACCTTAATATTTTCTCATTTGAGCAACCTAATCTTACATTTGCACACCACAGCCTTTGCATTTGGCTTTATTACTCTTTTTTCCAAACTTTATTGGTATTTCTTAAAACTCTGCTTAAACTGCTTCTCTATTTGACCAGCACACACACACACACACACACACACACACACACACACACACACACACACACACACACACACACACACACACACACACACACACACATATATATATATATATATATATATATATATATATATATATATATATATATATATATATTGACCAGCACATACATTTATAGCAATATATATGTACAAATATGTATATATATATATATACATATATATGTATTTATAATATGTATATATATATATAATATGATTATATATATATATATATATATATATATATATATAATCACATTATTATTATTATTATTATATATATATATATATATATATATATATATATATATATATATATATATATATATATTATATATATATATATATATATATATATATATATATATATAATAGTTTTTTTTCAATTAAAATTTAATATTATTAAAATAAAATTAAAAAAAACAATTATAAAAAACCATTTTAAATTGTCTCTTTTTTACTCACTTGTCATACCATTCATAGTCCAATTTATAGTATAATCAGTAGAGAGTTCGTTATCATGATATGTTAACAACCCATCGCCTAAAAAAAGACAGTTTGTATGATTCTAATTTATATGACTTTAATTGTACCATTCAAATAATGTATTAAAATTTAAAAAAATTAAATTTGTTAAAAAACTTTACAAGACAATGTTTTATAAAATAAACAAAGTCTTTTAAATTTGCTAATTTCCATCTGCAAATTTTGGATTCTCTATTAGTGGATGAAAGTCATTAAACTCGACGAACTCTGCATTAATGACTCTCAATCATTGCTAGAGCGGCCACAAGTTTCAAGATAGCTTACTACCTAACAGCATCAAAACCATTACAACAAGAAGCCATTAAAATGAGTTTTAGAGCTATACTATAATTAAAAAGGCATAAACAAAAAGCCATAAGTAAAACCCATAAATGCTAATTTCAATAAATGAATAAAAATGTTAAGTCTTTACGAATTAAGAAGATTTAAAAAAAAAAAAAAACATCTTCACTTCCAACAAGGCTGCAAACGAGATGGAAGTTACTGGAAAGTAACAAGAGAATGAATTTTAGTAGAAATTAATAAATAAATTACTTTTAATAAATAGAATTTTAATTTTCTAATTAATAGAACTTTAGCACAAGATCCAGCATTTATCAATTTTCATAAATTTAAACTAACGCTTTGTCTGTTAATTTAAATTATATCAAAATCACTCTTTTATTATGATCTAACTATACATTGTGTTAGTGTTAAAAGCATTTTTTATTTACATATGTTATTTATCTAAGATGTAAAATTGTTTTTTTAAAGAATAAAAAGATATCATACTTGTTAAACTATTTCCGTATGCTAATGCAGCTATGTACTGTGTATCATTAAGTGGAAGCAAACTGTCAGCATACATCCCTACATCCAAAGGACGTGAGTACCTTAAAAATAAAAAATAAATATGGGTCTTAGTTTTTGTTTATAGCAGCACTTGAAATAATTACTTAGAGGTTGCTGATCAACACTGATTGACTAAAATGATAAGAATTGAAAAGTAAACAATCAAATAATTTTCTGGAAAATAAAATTTTTTGTTAGTTTGAACTAAATTTTTATGTGTAGCAATTTTTGCATCACACTTTTTATGTTTGTGCTTGATAGCACTGCTTATACCACAGAATTTCCACTTACTTTAAAACTCAGAAACAATAAAAAATTTAAAATAAAAACTTATACTGGGCCTTGTTTTAAAGTGTCACATAATAAAAACAAATTAGCCTTTTTAAATAAATTTTTTAAAAGTGCTTTACACTTTTCCCGCTTGAGTATAAAACAAATTTATGATAAGTTGTCCGGCTCATCCTAATATATCATAAAAATTAGCAATTAAGAAATGAATTAGATTGATCAACTTAACTTTTGATTCGTCATTCAATTATGCAAAGTCATTTGTACAAAATATTAAAAAAACTTTGTTTTCTAATTACCTAAAGATATTTTTTAGTGCATTATTAGATTATCATTAACTTTAAGATTTTTGATCTCGTCTATTTATGATTATTTTTATATTTATATTACAAAATATATTTGTTATATTTATAATGTAAATATTTTTATTATATTTATAGTATAAAATATATTTTTTACATTCATTTTGTTAAAACTATAGTTTAAACTAAACGATTGTCTGCAACATTGTAAACAATTGTTTAGTAAAAACATTATTCAAAATTGACACGCAAATTAGATCAAAGTTTCAAGCTCATTTATTCAAAGTTTAAATGCAAAAACGTTTCTCTTGCATTCTACGAAATGAAAAAGCTATTCAAATAATAATGATCGAATTTTTATGGTTTTGGTTACCGAAAAGAATTTATAGTTTTTTTACAAAAGCAATATAAGAAATATTGGAAACCTTACAAAATTAAATTTTTTTTTACAAAATATTGGAAACCTTTAAAAAAACATTTGTTGATCGAAACTTTAATGCAAGAATATTTATTTTAAAAACAAACAAAAGACTTAAGAAAGTTTTGAACTATTCTTTATTTGATGTGTCTGTTTTCACTCTACTTATTATTAAAAAAAAGGCATTCAGTTTTTGCATTAGATACAGGCAAAGTAAATAATAGTTTAACGAGAAGTAGAACCAGAACCCATTCATTTTTCATCAAGCTGGAGAATATTTGGTGCCATAATTTGCGGTAACTGGTATTATGTGGTACTAAGTACTTTATAGTGTAATTTATTAAACTATGCCAAGCGTCCAAAACATCATTTATGCTTCTGGTGAAACCAGCAAGTTTCAACAGCGTTTTGTAAAAGTCATAAACTTTTTCTATTCCTTCATCCAAGAATGCATCGATTTCAATACTTTGAAGCCAAGTATTTAAAATTTTTGTACTATACATATCAAGGATGTTATCACATGTTTCTAAACACTCTATGATTGAACTCATTACTAAATCAATAAGAATAGACTTTGAATTTTTTGCTAAACGTTTAGGATTTACAAAATTGTTAAGTGTGACACCCTGGAAATAAAACATTCCAGCCTTTTCATTTATTTTGGTAAGAAAACGTTTTACTGTTGGCAAATCGATAAATTTGTCTTTTGAATACAATTTAATTGGTTTTTAGCTTGTTGATTAAAACCTGATGAAGAGAATAAACATCAATCCAGAGTTGTTAGCAAGGCCAAAAGTAGCAAGGCCACATGTTACAAGGCCAAGGCCAAGACCATGACCAAGGCTAAGAGTTTTAAGGTCAAGACCAAGAATAAGAGTTTCAAGGCAAAGGCCTACGCAAACATATTCAAGACTAAAGACTTAAATTTTTGCCTTACGTTAAGGATATTTATTAACAAAACTGTAGGTAACAATTGCTGAGAAAATAAAAGCTATGTTGTAAAAACAAACAGTTTAGCGCAGAATTAATCAAAGTCAATAAGAAAATATACTTGTAGATATATATGAAAGTTGAAAACAAAAATACATAAAAATAAAGAATGAAAACTTTTAATGCCGTGAATTTTTTTTTGGATGGCCAAGACCAAAACAATCAAGACCAAAGCCGAAATTTTCATTTGAAACCAACAGTTTCAAGGCCAAGACCAATAATTTTTTTTTATTTCATAGTCAACAAATTTAAGAATATTAGCGGTTCCATTACGCGTAACTAAAACGGTAAAAAATATAACATAAACAAATCAAGCAAAAAAATACTGGAGGCTTTCTTAGGTCGGTAATCATCAATGTTATATTCATCATCTTCTAAAATAGATGCAAGTTCACCAAGCTGCTAAACTTTTTAGGTGATTTTTTGTAAATGTAATGCATTCTTAAAACAAAGCAATCAACATCATTAAATGATTCAGTTTTTCCTTATTTATCTTTTAATGATAACTCAAGACAATGTGCTGCACACCAACCAAATGTGATCCATGGAATTTCAGCCATGAGCAACATTTTAACACCTAATTTGCCTCCTCTGTTTACAGATGCGCCATCTGCACCAAAACCAACTAATTTGTTATTGTAATTTTCGATTTCTATATTCACAAGTGACTCTTTTATAGTGTTAAAAACTCTGTGCGATGTACCAAATTCAAAATCTGAAAAAAAAAATAAAAGAAAGTCACATTCAACACATACTTCCAATTTTCTAGGTAGAAAGGTGACAACAAATATAGCCTCTTTTTCTATAATTGAAACATTGTTAGAACTTCAATTTAAATAGTGAAAAACTTTTGATTATTCAGTTTTTTTTAAGATCTTTTGCCAAACTCAGATCAATGCAGTCAATTAATGTTCCGAAAGTATTTGCATTCTTATAAGTTGACTAAAGACTACACCATGTTTCTCTTGTAATTAAATAATTTTTGGATATAGACTAAGCGACAGTTCTTTTTTTGCTATAAAGTAAGCAACCTTGAATGTCCTTATTGGTCAAATCAAGATCCTTACTAAGCATGGTTTGAATACTGAATAAAATAACTGTTTGCCAGATGTTTTGCTGCAACTCATTTTGTTTTTCAATTCAACCACACAAAGTCATACCTCTTGTTCTCATAAATACTTCAAAAACTTTCTAGTATGACATTCCTTCTGCATGTACGATTGCGGAACTGTGTTGCAATCAACTGCATCTTTTTCCACCACTCCATACTAGCATGTACCCTTTTAAAATTTGAATTTGAGAAGCATATTCTTGGCATACTTATTTCTTGGCTTGTATTTTAGCGCAGTAACTATTCCATCAACACTCTCTAATTCAAGTCAATCGTTAGCATTATATTTTGCAAGCACAGAATCTTTTCACTTATTAGCTGTTTATAATTATAACCTTCTTTTGTAAACTTTTACTTTATTCTTAGTAGGTGTTTCAGATCCTGATTTCCTTTTAAAATAAATAATTTTCTGTCGCTTTTTATGATTATTTTTATACTTTTTTATAACTTTTATATTTTTATATAATTTTACTCCTAAAACTTACTTTCTAAAAAATTTAAACAAAGCAATTTTATTTTGCTTAAAGCATTATGATGTTTTTAATTCAACATTCTTTCTACCAATCATGAACTTGCATTATTTTTTATTTTTCAAAATTTTTCACAAAAGCGTTATAGTTTCTGAATGGTAATGCAAATTCGATTTATTAAAAAAAATTCAATTCATTTAAAATAGTTCATTAGCAGGTAATAAACTTTTTGTTAATATAAATTTTTCTCTTTCTTAAGCGATGTTTTATTTTTAATGATTTTGTGTCAATGTTTTATATTTGTCTTTTTTATGTTTTTATGACATTTGTTTTAGAACTTTTTGAATTTTTAATATAAAGTTTGAATTAAAATTCTTCCTAATCAAATTTGATTGTCCAGAAATAATTTTGGCAAAATATCATTTTTTTCAACAGTAGAAAATCATCGGTCGTTGACTGGCTGTTATTTTGAGCACTGTTATAGTTATAATATAATTTTATAATAGTTTCATGGATGGTTTTCTTATTGCTAGAGAACTAGAGAAAATAGTCTTTACATGCCATAAGAAAATCTTTTGCTACTAATTGATCAGTATATAAATAATTATTGTGAGTAATTTAAAAATTAATCAGTGTTACTTATCATCAGGTAATTGCTAAATAGTCAGCATACAAATTTAAAATATTGAATCAAAAAACAACTCACAAATAATAAATTTTCAATATTATTCAAATTTTGCAAAAATATATCTCTATTTTAAAAATGATATTACAAATGTGCAAATAAAACCGCATTATTGTAACAACTTAAAATCAATTTACATCATATTCAAAGAGATCGTATGAAGAGCCATTGTATTAAGCAACATGGAAAATATGGCATTTCTCATGACAAATGATTATAACAAAAAAACCCATAAAAAATTAAAAAAAAAAAGCCTTAAAAATTAGCAAAAAAATTGCAAAAAAAATTTGAACAAAGTATTAATTCTAGAACAAAGTATTAATTCTACCTTGGGCATCTAAATTTAAAATTCAATTATAAAAGATGTAAAAAAAATGCAGAACCATACTTACATACACCATATTTAAATTATCAAAAAATCTTTAGCAAGTAATAAATAAAATTTAAAACCTAAACTTGGCAAAAACAACATTGGACTCTAAAGCCTTTTGTATAAAGTTATATACCATCAAAGATAAACTAAAATTAACCAGTACCAATAACATGAGTTTTTTTTTTTAAAACATTCTCACTTTCAACAAAGCTGCAAGCAACCACTATTAGAGTTGGAAGTTACTGGATGAGAAACGATATAGTTTATAGAAGTATATTTTTGCACAATGTCTAAAAAAGAAAGGACACCATTCAAAGATCCACTTTAGATATGGCAACAGTATTTCATATAAGAAGGGATTTGAGATTTATAGAGATAAAGAATAAAATCCAGAGTAAGAAAGCAGCAAGCACAATAAAGAGGTGCAACCTTAGCAGATGTTAATTTTGGATTTGATATATGATTTCCAAGAAATGTTGGAAGTAAAAGTTAATCCTAAAAGATGAAGGGTAGATGACTAATGGAGTACATTACCATGCATAAATATTGGAAGATCTAGATTGTTGCAATAACAATTAGCTGAAAAAAAATTGAGTTTTAACTGAATTAAAGTTCACCAACCAATGAGAGCCCCATGCTGTAGTGGAAGTGAGATCTTTTTCAATAATAAATGCCCCCTCCAAGAAATCAGAGTGTTGGCTTCTTATCAAGACAAGAATAAATGGTAGTATCATCAGCGAACAGTTCTACCTTAGATGTGAGAATTTTTGAAAGATCATTAATGTAAATTAAAAAAAGTATAGAGCCAAGGATAGAACCTCAAAAAACCCCTGAAGTTACAAGTTACCATAAGAAGAAAGCTTATGGAAAGACCAGCATGCCGAACTTTATATAAGCTTACTATAAGTTTATATAAACTTTATATAAGCTTACTATATAAGCTTACTATATAAGCTTACTATAAGCTTATATAAACTTTATATAAGCTTACTATATAAGCTTAACCTCTCCACATTAATCTAGTGCTTGACCTCTCCACTACATTAATCTAGTGCTTGACCACTCCACATCTAGTGATATATTACCATTATTTGATATTGAGCGCTTGATATATTACCGAATATTACCTTTAATAAACCAGCAGTAGAAAGAGGTGATCAAAAACCATATTGCTTATCAGAAAGTAAGTTATCAGATCCAACATGAGAGATTATGTGTTTATTAATTAAAAACTCAAAAACCTTGCTTATAATAGTAAGAAGTCTAATAGGATGGTAGTAAGATGCGTCAGATTGTTCTCCATTATTTTTAAAAATAGGGATAACAGATCACTTTAGATATAAAAGCTGGAGTGATACAAATGTCAAGCAATGAATCAACCTGTATGTTGGCTATACCAGGTAGGATGATATAATGATGGTTCGCTGACTATATAACGATGATGATGGGTTTTGTGTTTTATAGTTTTTGATACTATTTTTTAAATTACTTAAAGAACTTGACTCCATGCACAGATAGCACTCAGTGCACTATCTGTCAACACTAACAGTTCAAGTGTTGCCTCATTACTATTAATAAGCCAATAATAGTAATAAGGCAATTATAATTTACTATTAATACTAATAATAATAATAATAATAATAATATATATATATATATATATATATATATATATATATATATATATATATATATATATATATATATATATATATATATATATAAATATATATATACATGTTGTTATAAATATATATGTATATGTTGTTGCTGATTTAGTGTTAAAAATACTAAACTCTTGATCATAGAAGAGTGCTCAATATTTAAGAAATATTTATATTTTCAAAAACAGCATTTTATACTTAAAAATCAGAAAAAAAACTTTTTATGGAACTTTTTTATGAAATCATCAGCCATGAAGTATTTAATCAAAATACAAAAAAACCGTTTAAAAATTACCAACTACAGTAGAATGAGTTCTGACATTATAATACAAGAAATCCTAATGGAAAATTGATCTCAGCTCTTAAATAATGAAATAAATTTATTTTTATACCTACATTTAGAAATTAACTTGCCCCAAGAAGTGTTGTTTGAATACTATTTGGTTATTTGGTTTAGTCAACAAAAAGTAAGTGTCACTAATATTCTTGTTACATAAATTACAGAAAAACAATAATATAATATATATATATATATATATATATATATATATATATATATATATTTGATATATATAAAATATATTTGTTTAAAAAAATATAAAATATAGTATATAATTATAAAAATAAACATAATAAAAGCCATAAAATTGTAAACAAACTTCCTATATATACAAAAAGATTTATTAAAAATTATTTTAATCTTAAAATCAACAAAAGTAATTTAAAAAACTCTTTCTTTTTGCAACAGCATAAACGCATTTTCACTTTAAAGGACAGGTTTATGACCAAATTGATGGAGTTGCTATGGGTTCTCCATTAGCACCTGTACTTGCTAATCTGTTTATGGGTAATTTTGAAGAAAAATGGGTCAAATCTTATAATGGGGAAAAACCGTTGTTTTACAAACGTTATGTAGATGATATTTTTGCTGCTTTCCCTTCAGAAAACCACTCAATTTTATTCTTGGATTATGTAAACAAAAAACATTCTTCAATATCTTTTACCATGGAAAAGGAAGAAAACTCAAAAATATCTTTTTTGGACATAACTCTATATAAGTTGAGCAGTCCAACAACTACAACAGTTTTTCATAAAAAAAAAAACCTTTACTGGATTATACACCAACTTTTACAGTTTTACTTAGTTTTCATATAAAATAAGTCTTATAAAATGTTTAATTGAAAGAACTTTCAAAATTAACAACACTACACTTGATCTCCGCTATGATATTAAAAATCTTTTTAAAATTGTCAAACGTAATATGTACCTATCTTGGCTAATAGAAAAAAATCCACAACTCTTACTTAAATAAAGATAATTATGTCGTTATATTACCATCTAAAGACCTTACAAACTCTCGCTATTTCAAACTCTCGCTATTTCAAACTCTCATTTTTACAAACTCTCGCTATTTCAATATTGGTCAAATATCTGAGCTAACAAAACGAAGATTACACACAATTATAAAGAAACATTGTAAGTCGGTTAGCATAAAATTAGTATTCACTTCCTTAAAAGTGTCTAATTTTTTTCATCTAAAGATCACCTTCCTGTAGATTTTAAATCATTCATCGTCTACAAATTTGTTTGTGCAGGATGTAAATCCTGTTATATTTGCGAAAACCTCTAGCCACCTAAAGACGCGAGTGATTAAACACTACAGAAGGGATAAAAACTCTCTTATTTATAAACATCTTCACCAAAAAGAAAAGTGTTTTAAAAATTATAATGATAAATGCTTTTCGATTTTGAATCGCGCTAAAAATAAAATTGAATTAAAATTAAAGAAAGCATTCATATAAGATGGGAAAAACCCAATATGAATAAACAAGTAAACCATCTTAAAATGACTCTTATAATTTAATATGATTTACCGGGCATTTTTGTTATATTTGACATTTGTTAAAATAATTTTTAATAAGTCTTTTTGTATATATAGGAAGTTTGTTTACAATTATATGTATATACATATATATATATATATATATATATATATATATATATATATATATATATATACATATATATATATATATATATATATATATATATATATATATATATATATATATATATATATATATTCTAGGAAAAAAATTTGGGCAGCGGTACTCCTCTATTTCAGAAAATTTAGCAGAAAATGGGCGTTTTATCGAAAAAAAAAAATATTTGCCGTAAAAAAAAAAAAAAAAAAAAAAAAGGCCTCAAATTTCAATTTAGGCCGCACTTAAATTGGCGCCCAAATACGGTCAACACTGTCGAAAATGGTCTAGAATAGCCCCTGATAAATATATATATATATATATATATACATATATATATATATATATATATATGTATATATATATATATATATATATATATATATATATATATATATATATATTATATATATATATATATATATACATTTGTGTGTGTGCATACGATACAATATAATTTATAGTACAATTTAATCTGTTAATTTATGTTTTACTTACGAGCAAGTGAAATAAGATCCATTCACAGTGGCCTGTAACAATGTCACATATGCAACCTAAGGAAAAAAATAATTTACATTTAAAGTTATATTTAGTTACATTTAAATTAATTGTGTAAAAATAAATTATTTTAAAATGTTATATTTCCATTTAAAAACTAATTTAATTAAAAAAAGAACAAACTTTCCAAACTATTATTATTTTTTAAAAGTCAAGATTTTTATGAAAACAATAATTATATACATTATTATTTTCTTGAAAACCTTAACTTAATTAAGAATAGCTTTTCTTTAATTAGTAAAATTTAAACTAGTTTGGTCTATTTTATTAAACATGTTTATTAATAAAAATTATATTCATAAAAAATAACAAAACAAAATATTTCACCCTTAACTCTTTGCCTCTTAGGCAAAGACTTTAGGGGTAAACAGTTTCTATCTGTTGATCAGCACAGCACCCCTTCTTCATCTATTAGGCTGGCGAAGATGTATTTATAATACATTGTTTCCAGATTAGGATGTTGAATGTGGATCTTCTTGACTCAATGCATCGGTTTCACTAGAGTCTCTGTTTTATGACTAGGTTACTCACTCTAATATCATTTAATGAGGATACAGCTGTAAAACTCAGTTTTATGGTTCTGAGCCCGGCTGTTAGTCAGGTTTCCTAAACTCTGTGTTAGCTCTCATAGAGGCTGATTCCATTAACAGCAGTAAAATATCAGAGTACTAACAGTGCCATATTGCTCATGGACAGTGTCCCTGTTTGTACTTTTGGTGTGTGTTGTTGAGGCCACTTTTGGAGCCTTTTGTTAGGGCTTAGGGTTTATCAATAGTAATGAAGCAATTGCTTGGGCTATTAAATAGTGTATTGAGTACTATCTATGCTTTGATTTACCAAATTAACCAATTTAAAAATGAATAAAATATAAAATTATAAAACACAAATAACCATTGTCATCGCCAAGTTTTTTAAACATATGATTCACTAATATTCATGGTCTATGAAGTAACTTTTCTTCTGCTGATTCTCATATCTTGCGAAGTTTACCAGACCTACTAGCTCTTTGTGGGACTAATTTGATTTCAGCTGTCTCATATTGTGATCTTAGTGTTGATTGTTATGTTCTTTTAATTTGTAAAGACTCCAATAGTCACATGCTTGGCCTAGGCATTTATATTTGTAAAAATTAAACTTGTCGGGAAACTAGAATTGAATCCACAGACAATTCTTTTATATGCTTTTGTTTAGCACCACTTCACTCTATCTCTTTTTCTTTGTTCTATATTGTTCTCCTTTATCTCAGACTGCACTCTTTTCTATGTTATTTCTGATTAAATTGACCAAACCCTCTCTCTTTATCCATCAGCCAATATTGTTGTTGTTGGTGATTTTAATGCTCATCACACTGAATGGTTTGGCTCTTAATCTCTTACTCAAATAGTCAACTTTCCAACTCGTTTTCCAGACAATCCGAATCATTTGTCTTCTCTACTCAAATTATGTCATGTTACTGATCTTAG